CTGGTTTTGGGGGGAGTTGCGCTCAGACATAGTTCCTCTTGTCGTAGCTGGTGACGGCGGAGCGCGGGGCGGAGTAGGCCACCTTGCCGGTGGGGTACCTGTCGTCTTTGGGGGGGCAGGAGCAGCAGAGCAGGGCCCCCCCCAGCAGCAGGAGCGCGGAGGCCGCCCAGCCCACGTAGAGCGAGGTGCCCAGCTCCCGCTTCTGCGCGTCCAGCACCAGCGGGTTGTAGAAATCCCGGATGATGGTGTTGGCCGACCAGGAGACGGGGATGAGGTTCATGACGCCGGAGAGGAGGAAGATGACGCCGGAGACGATGGTGATCTTGGCTTTGGTGCTCTCGTCCTCCACGCAGCGGGTGCACTGGGCGCCCACGATGGCCACCATCAAACCCAGGACGGCCAAGACGATGGCCACCACCAGGAGAGCGCGGGCGGCTTGCAGGTCCTGCGGCAGGGCCAGCATGGAGTCGTAGACCTTGCACTGCATCTGCCCCGTGCTCTGCACCACGCAGTTCATCCACAGCCCTTCCCAGATGATCTGGGCCGTCACGATGTTGTTGCCGATGAAGGCCGTCACCCGCCACATGGGCAAGGCGCAGCAGATGATGCTGCAGAGCCAGCCCAGCACCGAGAGGGACACCCCACCGATCTCCAAACCCATCGACATGGTGGTGGCCGCCGCTGCCTCTTGGCTTGCCACTGGCCGGGCGATGGCGGAGGAGGAACCTGGGGATCGAAGCTTGTCACCGTCACCCTTCGCTGCTCGCAGCCCTCGGGGGAATCAGCTTACACCTGGGTGCACCTGCGCTTATAAAGGGCTTGGCGGGGGCCACCTCCAGCGCCCGCCCGGGGTGGGGTTTCGCCGCTGGACGCTCCTCTCCGTCACCGTCACCCGCTGGTCCCACACCCTCCCCTTTTGTTTGCGGAGATGGCGCCGGGTTACCGGAGAAGGGCAGGAGGGGGAGAAAGAGAGAGAGAGAAAGAAGGAGAAACACCACCTTCCATCCCTTCGGTTTCGGGGTGATGGATGCCGGGAAGTGTGGCCGCCATGCTCATTCCCAGACTTTTGTTGGAAGACCCTTCAGCGTCCACATTTCCCCCCCCCCCCTCCCCTTTTTTTTTTTTTTCCCCACCAACAACAACCTTTCCCGGGGTCAGAGTTTGGTTTATTTCTGGAAGGTCCTTATCAGGGCTCACGTTTTCAACCGGGGTTGGGGTGAAACTTTACCGGCCACCTTGTGCCTTGCTGTGCAAAGTGCAAGCCCTTCGCCGCGCCGGGGATGCTTTGTGCTCCGATTCCACCATCCCATGGGATACATACGGGCTCCCACCCCACTGGACAGGGAGCCCAAGCAGGAATCCCCCAACTCAAATAATAAATATATTTATAAATGTAACTTTTACCCTGTGGCACCCTGATACCCTTTGTATCTGCTCAGGTGGGGCTTCTGCCACCACCATGACACCCCAAACCACCCTGTATCTGCCCAGGTGGGCTTCTGCTACCTCATGGCACCCTGAAACACCCTGTATCCATCTGGCTTCTGCCACCCCATGACACCCCAAACCACCCTGTATCTGCCCAGGTGGGCTTCTGCTACCTCATGGCACCCTGAAACACCCTGTATCCATCTGGCTTCTGCCACCCCATGACACCCCAAACCACCCTGTATCTGCCCAGGTGGGCTTCTGCTACCTCATGGCACCCTGAAACACCCTGTATCCATCTGGCTTCTGCCACCCCATGACACCCCAAATCACCCTGTATCTGCCCAGGTGGGCTTCTGCCACCACCATGGCACCCCAAAACACCCTGTGTCCACCTGGGTGGGCTTCTGCCACCTCTGTGGCACCCTGATACCCTCTGTATCTGCCCAGGTGGACTTCTTCAGCCTCATGGCACCCCAAAACCCCCTTTATCGGGCCAGATGGGGCTTCTGCCATCCCACAGCACCCCAAAGCCCCTTGTAGCCATCTAGGTGGGCTTCTGCCACCCCATAGCACCCCAAACCACCCTGTATCTGCCCAGGTGGGCTTCTGCTACCTCGTGGCACCCCAAAACACCCTTTATCCATATGGGTAGGCTTCTGCCACCCCGTGGCACCCTGATACCTCCTGTATCTGCCCAGGTGGACTTGTTTCGCCCCATGGCAACCCAGAACCCCCTTTATTGGGCCAGATGGGGCTTCAGTCACCCCATGGCACCCCAAACCCCCTTGTATCTGCCCAGGTGGGGTTTCTGCCATCCTGTGGCACACCAAACCTCCCTGTATCTGTCTAGGTGGGCTTCTGCCACCCCATGGCACCCCTAAATCCGCTGTGTCTATCTGGGTGGGCTTCTGCCACCCCATGGCACCTTGATACCTCTGGTATTGGCCCAGGTGGACTTCTTCTGCCTGATGGCACACCGAAACACCCTGTATCCATCCTAACGGGCTTCTTCCACCCCATGGCACCCCAAAACACCCTGTATCCACTTGGATGTGCTTCTGCCCCCTTGTGGCACCCTAAAACACCCTGTATCCATCCTGATGGGCTTCTGCCATCCCATCAGACCCCAAAACACCCTTTATAGATCTGTGTGGGCTTCTGTCACCCCATGGGACCCCAAAAGCTCCTACATCCACCTGGCTGGGCTTCTGCGACCCCACTGTACCCCAAAACACCCTGTATCTGGCCAGGTGGGCTTCTGCCACCCCATCATACCCCAAACACCTTGCCAAGGGCACCCCAAGCCCCCAGAGCTGACCAGGGCTGGTGGTCGTGACGGTACCCAGGGGTGTGCCTGTAAGTGCTGCCAAGGGAGAGCCCATGCAAGCAGCACCCCAGGGCCTTATGTCCTTGTCATTGCAGGGGTGCTGGGGGTCCCAGCCCTCAGGGACACCTCGGGGTGTCCAACAGTGCCTGCGGTGTCAGCAGGTGACAGTGGGTGCTGGCAGTGCGCACCGCAGGCAGGGCTGTGCCAACAGCCTGGGGGTGCGAGTGTGTACAGGCGCACGCATACACACACACACACAAACACACCCCCTCTGCTGGCAGGTACACCCAGACACACAGACAGACAGACAGACACACGCAGACAGAGGCGGACAGGCACATGACGGCGGTGCAGGTGCACACACGCACGCCCCACGGCGCACCCACGGCTGCAGATACACCAGCACCTGCACCCATGGCTGCCACACACACACAGCTGCAGGGGCCGTGGGGCAGGGGGTACCCCGGGCAGAGCTGTAGGACAGGGCTGTGGGGCAGGGGGGTACCCCGTGCAGATGTGTGAGGCAACAGGGACACTCCAAGTAGGAGACTGGGGCAATGGGGATACCACAGGCAGGGATGTGGGGTAGGGGGTGATAAGCCTGGGTAGGGATGTGGGGCAGTGGGACACCCCAGGCAGGGCTGGGGGACAATGGGGACACCCCAAGTGGGGTGTGGGGCAGGAGTAGGGGCGTATCAGCAGGGGCGTGGGATAGGGGAGAAATCCAAGACAAGGATGTGAGGAAGGGGGTATCCCACGCAGATGTGTGGGGCAATGGAGATACCCCAGGTAAGAGTGTGGGGCAGGGGAGACACCCAAGACAGAGATGTGGGGCAGGGGATACTCCATGCAGGTGTGTAGGGCAATGGGAATAACCCAGTCAGGGGTGTGGAGCAGGGGGATATCCTGTTCAAGGGTGTGGGGCAAGGGGGACGTGCCAGGCAGGGCTATGGGGCAGAGGGGTACCCCATGCAGGTGTGTGTGGCAATAGGGATACACAGGCAGGTATGTGGGGCAGTGGGGATACCCCTGGCGTAGGGTCTACAGGGGCAGGGATGGGGTGAGACGGGGCGGGCGAAGCGCTGCAGCCCCTGACCCTGCAATCACAGCCCCACACGCCGCGTCCCCACTTTGTCATCCCAAATTGCCCAAAGTACAGGCTGTGCGCGGTGCCGAGCCGGCCCGGGGCCGCCACCGCCTGACTCACGGCGGAGGAAGGGGCAAATCACCGGGGTTTCGGGGTGCTGGCCGCTGCCATGCGCTTTGGGGTGCATTCTTGTGGCCAGCAAACCGGCTTGCTGGTGTTTTCCCAAAACAGCTGAGCAGGGCCAGCATCCCTGTGGGGGTCCTGGGAGCATCCCCATCCCTCCTGCTCCCGCGTCCCCCACCCCAGTGAAGTCCCTCTGCTCTGCCCCCGCAGCTGGGAAGGGATGGGGAGCACTGCCCGCAGCAGGTCCCCCAGGATGGGACAAGGTGGGGTGGCCACATGGAGCCACCGATGCCTGGTGACCCCCGATGAAGGTCAGACCAAAGGTCACGGGAGCATCGCCGGTTTGATGCCATGGGAAGGACACCCGCACAGGCACGGGGGGGACACCTAGGGTGGGCATCCCCCAATGTCCCCACCGTGTCCCCGGCATCCCAGGGGTGAGCAGGAGGTGACAGCAGAAACTGCCCTGGGGGCTGCATCCCGCTCACGTGCGCCCGGCAGCCGGCGCAGGGTTTGGGGTGTTCCCCCTCCCCTGCGGTCTGGGGAGTGACGGCACGTTTCCCCCCCTGGGGGAGCTGGGCCGGGGCGGTAAATGCTGCCTCGGCTGCTTATATTTCAGGCGCGGGGCTGCTGGCTCTGCCCCGGCCAGGGCACACAGGCAGCCCATTGTTGAAGCCCCTTCGGCGGTGGCGGAGAGCAGGTAAGGCGGCTCCGAGCATCAATGGTGGCTCTGTCTGCCGGCGGGGCGGGGATGGAGCTGCCGGCACACGGGGAGCTGGGGGGCGGCGGGGGGCACGGTCCGGCGGGACCTGGCAGGGGGCTGGCAGCTCGCCCAGGGGATGCCGGGATGCCCGAAATCTCAGCGAGCTTGGGGCATCCCCACCCCGACAGCTCGGGAGCAGTTTCCCCGGGGGCTTCGCCACAGCATCGAGCTTCCCCTGAGCGTCGCCCATGGTGGGGCCCGTCATTGTGCCGCTCGCATCCCCCTTCCTCAGCCGTGCCCGGCCTCTCCCCCATCCCTTTGACAACCCACCGTGGCCGCACTTGGGCATATTTTCCCCGTTCAGAACCATTTTTGCTCATGGCTTTTGTTTTCGGGGCGACCTCAGGTCGAAGGTCCCGTTTCTGGCAGCGGCTGCGTCCCCCCCCCCAGGGAACCCACGGCTCCAGCTCCTGCCGAGCCGATAAGACTCTGCTTTCCCGTAGCGGGAAACAACCTGACTCTGCATATTTGAGCCGGTCAGGGGGGTTTTATGTTGGGCAAGGACGTTTTTTGGGAACATTCAGTCTCTAGGCTGCCAGTAGCTAATCCCCGGCCGCCGGCAGGGAAAGGCAGCCCCGCTCGGTGCCGGCGCAGCAGGAGGGCTGGTGGCCGTGCCTCGCTCCCTGGATGTGAAGGCGGAGATCCCGGCGGATCACCGCTCCCCGGAAAGTCTCGCCCACCTTTTCGGGACCTGGAGGTAGCTGGGGCAGCAAGTTCATGTGCAGGTGCCGGGGGGATGAGGGGCTGGTGCTGGGGGTGTGTGTGAGGTGGGAATGTCACCTGTGTCCTGGGTGGGGATGTCCCTGAGCCCTTTGGTGGAGGATTTGTGCCCTGAGCCCTCTCCCCGTGGGGTGTCCTCTGCCCTGAGCAAGGTCAGGGTGACGCAGCCTCCACCGTGCACCCGGTGGTGCCCAACATCACAGTGACACCGGGTTTAATGCCACCTCCCTGCCTGGGGGTGGCCTCGCTGCCCAGCTGTGGGGCTGTGGCATGTCCCCATCCCAGGGACATGGGGACAATGGGCAGAGGGCATTTCCTGAGCCACGAAGGGCCAGTGGTCGATGTGCCGGATGGGAGCTCTGCCCTCACCGACCCCGTCAGCATGTGGTGGAGCAGGGATGGGAGCTCAGGTCACGCTGTCCTGCAAATCCCAATGGATTTGGGGCAGGGTACCCACATTTGTCTGGGTGCTGGGGCAGGTGCTGGGTGGAGAAGGCTTGGGATGGGGCAAACAGCCTGTTGTGGGGTGGAGGAGCGCCCTGCTGAGTGTGTGGGCTGTGATCCCACCACAACTTGTCCCCGTGCCATGTCCCCTTGCAGGTGGCACTGGGACAAAGCCAGGGCTGAAGTCCTGCCGGAAGCACCACGGTGCAGGTGACTGGGATGGGGCTGTGGGGATGGTGCCCACGTGGTGATGGCCCCGACCGGTGCATGTCGAGGTGCTCAGCGATGCTGTGGTCCCACCTGAGCTACACCAGCATCCTCTGGTTCAGCGCTGGGGACAGGGTGCTGCCCGAGGGTCAGCCATTGCTCCTCCGCTCCCTGCTGAGCCCATGTCTGTCTGTCTGTCCCCCAGTGCCAGGGACACGGGGCTGGCTGTGCTGGCCGGTGGTGCCTGGCTGGGGGACGTGGGGAAGGGCACGGGGGCTGTTTCTGGGTGGCAGTTTGAATATATGTCACGTTCTGGCTCTAATTACAGTAATTGGCTGTCAGAGGGCCGTGCTGGCGCCGGCTCTGGCTCGGAGGGGGAGTGTGAGCGGCTCGGGTGTTTGATGCTCCGCGCGCGGAGGAGTCCCTGTCCCCACCTTGCTATTTGTCCCCAGCCCAGGGGCATGTCCCCACGCGCCTGCGGGGACACGGCCCACGCGAGGCACACTCACACGTGGGCACCCGCCTCCCGCCAGCCCCGAACCAGGCGGTTGTGGAGGGGAAACCACGCTCAGCCGCAGGCAGAGTCCAGCCCCGGCGGGGATGCTCCCCAGCCCCACAGATTAAAGGGAGCCCTTGACCACAATGCTCTGGCCCCGGGGTGGGCCCTCTGGAATGCCAGCAATGCGGGCGCTCCAGCAGGACAGAGGGATGGATGGAGCATCCCAGCGCAGCCCGGTGCCTGGGTGGCTCCTCCGGCACAGGTCGGGCAGGCAGGACACCCGCTCATCCATGTGGGTCAGGGTCTGCAGTGGGACCCGAGTCCCTCCTGTGCCGGCCACAGGCACCCCCAGCCCAGGTGCCATTGCTCCCTCATGGCTCCATGGTGTGCCGGCCACCCGCCTTGTCCCCTTGTTCGCAATAGGGTGCGAATGGCCGGGGACATCATGGTGTGGGCAGTGGCACCTCTACAGCCCGTCGCACAGAACAATTAGCACGAGTGGTTGGATCGTACCGGTAACCCCAGTGCCTGGAAAAACCAAGATTATCTCAAGCCCTGTTATCTCTTCCAGAGGCCTGGGATTAAGCCGGGGTGGGGGAATGGTACAATGTCCATCTGTCCGTCCTTGGGCTCTGTCTGGCCTTGTGCTGCGCCTGCCCGACTGCTGGAGGGGTCTGGAGGGAGCTAGGAGGGGATGTGTGCGGGGGGGGGTCAAGGATTAGAGGAGAACAGGTTGGGCAGCACCCAAAGCGTTGGTGTCAGTTTTGGTATCGATGTTGGTATCGGCATTGGCATTGGCATTGGCATCGGCATTGGCACTGTTATTGGCATCAGCATTGGCATCGGCGTTGGTATTAGCACAGCCTGGCCAGCGGGTATGGCCAGTTGTGCCAAAATGCTGCCAGCCCTGCTGCCCCGCCTGCCCCTGGCACCTCGGTCCCCACTGGCCACCCCCCGCAGCCCCAACCCCCCGAGCCCATGCGGCAGTGCAGGCAGCGGGATGTCGGCAGGGCTGGGACTGAGGGCTGCCGTGTGAACGCCATCTGGGCGGTGGAGTACAAGGTGGGGTGGGTTTTGGGGTCTGCCCCCCCCTCGCCCCGGGCAGTGCTGTCTCTCTCCTGTGCGGAGCCGGCAGCCGCTCCGACCGGTTTGTGGGTCTGGGCGGTGACACCTCCTGCCTGAGGCCCGATGGAGGGCTGGGAAGAGCTGGTACGGACGCCAAGGAACAAACAAGAGCCGCTTGTGTCCTGCTGGGCACGGAGCCCAGCAGCAGGGCAGGGACATGCTGCTCCCCCGGTGCAGGGGCCAGGGGGCTGGAGGCTGGAGTGCTGCTGGAGCAGCTGCTCCACCAGCTGGGGGGAAACTGAGGCAGGAAAACATGGAAGGACCCCATGTGGAGGATGGAGCAGGAGGTGCTGGAAGTGATGGCAGAGACATCCCGGTGCATGGACGCCAGATCTTCCTCATCAGCATCCCAGGCTGAGCCCCAGCAGCTGCCCTTGGCATCTCCTGCCCACCCACGGGCAGTGATGGGACACACTCCTGCACCTGGGTGGCCTGATCCCAGTCCCCTGCGTCCTCCTCCGTGGGAGCAGGCGGGATATTAAGTGTCATTGCTGTGGGGAGAAATGCAAGCGGAGGAATCCCGGGAAACTGGTTCTACCCCTCCATCCGGTGCCGGCGGCAGGACGGCGGCGGTGGCGGCGCTCCTCCCTCGGCGAAGGCATATAACGCCTGCCATGGTCCCGGCAGCCGGCACTGTGCTGCGGGAGGCGGGCAGGGGTGCCGGCGGCGAGCCATGGCCTCCATGGGGATGCAGGTGCTGGGCATTTCCCTCTCCGTCATCGGCTGGTTGGCCGCCATCCTCTGCTGCGCCTTGCCCATGTGGCGGGAGACGGCCTTCGTGGGCAACAACATCGTGGTGGCCCAGATCATCTGGGAAGGGCTGTGGATGAACTGCGTGGTGCAGAGCACAGGGCAGATGCAGTGCAAGGTCTACGACTCCATGCTGGCCCTGCCGCAGGACCTGCAAGCCGCCCGCGCCATGGTGGTGGTGGCCATCGTCTTGGCCATCCTGGGCACCCTGCTCGCCGTCGCCGGTGGCAAGTGCACCAACTGCGTGGAGGACGACACTGCCAAAGCCAAGGTCATGATCCTCTCCGGAGTCATCTTCATTGTCGCCGGCCTCCTCATCCTCATCCCCGTCTCCTGGTCAGCCAACACCGTCATCCGGGACTTCTACAACCCACTGGTCACTGACTCCCAGAAGCGGGACCTGGGCTCGTCCCTCTACGTGGGCTGGGCGGCCTCCTCGCTCCTGCTGCTGGGGGGGGGCATCCTCTGCTGCACCTGCCCCCCCCGGGGCGACAAGCCCTACTCTGCCAAGTTCACGGCGGCTCGCTCGCTGCCAGCCAGCAACTACGTCTAGGAGCCACCGTGCCCACCTGGACTGGGACCTCCTGGGGTGCCCACCTGGCCCGCGGACCCCCCCCCGGGCCGGGCTGGGGGCTGGCTGGGAGCCGGGGTGGGGGGGGCCGGGTGCCGGGGCGGTGCGAGGGAGCGCAGACAGAGCTGCCTTTGTTCACCGGGGGATTGAAGCTGGTTCTTTAATCTCAGTTGAGACAGGGAACTGGGAGATCCTGTCCCAGCTGCCCCCCCGACCCCGGCGGGGGTCTCGCTTCCCCCCGGGAGCACCCAAGCTGCGGCATCTTCTCCGAGACACCACCCATTCCCTCTCCCAGAGCATCTCCTGGTTCCCGGTATCGGGGTGTGCCGCGCGGTGACGCAGCTCCCGGGGCCTGTCCCGCGGGTGACACAGGGTAAAACCCCCCATGACGCGTCCCTCGGGGTGGGCTGCGGTGCCGGTGGGGACACAATCCTGTCCCAGGCGGTCACGGGGACGTGGTGGCTCTGCGAACCCCGGCAGGGTCTCAAGGGGCCTTGACCTACTTTCGGGGCTCGGGGCGGCTGCCCCGACGTGCGATTCCGCGCGGCGGCTCCCCGGGGCGGGGGATCATTATCCCGGGAGTGGGAAGGCAGTGGCCGGGCTGGGAGAACCGGTCGGGGAGGCGGGAGCGGAGCGGGGCTGTGCACGGAGGGGAACGACTCCCGGACCCGACCCCGTGCTGTGGGGTGCGCCCAGCCCCACGGCATCCCCCCGCTGGGCAGGAGGGACATGGCTTGCGGCGTCCCCCCGGCTGTACTGCCGTCCGTCCCCGCGGCGCAGCTTTCCCACATTAAATGGCAGCTGCTCAGACCCCGCTGTGCTTCGTTTTCTTTACCCTCTCCACCACCTGCCTCGGCGGTGGGACAGCCCAGTGCTCCTGTGCCCCCCATCCCCCTGAGGTCCCACAAATCCACTCTCTGGAGCCTTCTGGATCCCAGCCGCCCCCTGAACCTGGCTCCGTCCCATCCCTGAGCCACCACAACGGGAGCCTCTGTGGCACGATGACTTGGTGGCCTGACCCCGGCATCGGGGCTGCCCCACGCCTGTCCCACCAGAGCAGGAAGAGGGTGATGGGTGCCAGTGAGGGCAGGTCGGGGCGTGCTGGCCCTGGGGCCACCCGACAGCCCTGGCTGGGAGCACCCCGGGGCCGGCGTGGGCAACGCCGGGTGTTTTGCCTATCTGGCTTCCGGCACGGCAAGCTCTGCCGGAGCACAGCTGGTGCTACACCGGCTTGGGAACAGCTTCCCTCCTGCCTCGGGGTGTGCAGGGACAATGGGTGATGCCAACTGCTCTGGGTGTCACGTCTGGGCCTGGGGGCTGGAGGGCTCCCAGCTCCCCCATCTTTTCACTGGGAGATGGTGGAAAAGGGTCCCACAGTTTGTGGTGCCGGTGCCTGGGTGGAAATGTGAGTGCAATGCTCTGGTGATCATCTCTGCCAGGAGCTGTGGGGCCACTGCTCATCCCCGCTGTGGGCAGTTGTTTTGGGTGACCCTTTTGGTCCAGGTCCTACTGGCTGGGGAATCGTCACTGGGATGGCTTCCCATCATCCTGGCCTCCTGGGAGGCTGGTCTTCCCTTTGTGGGGACAGAGAGTTTAGTTTTTGGCCCAAACTGGCTTTCATGGACCAGGGGAGATAGAGTCCTGGTGCTGGGTGTCCATCAGGATGCTGAGGGATGAAAGGTGCTGCAGAAGGAGTGGGGATGCGATGGGGGAGGAGAGAAACCGAAACAGGAGAAACGACGGCGAAACCTCCAGCAAGTGCGGCAGGGTGTGCCGGGCACGGCCGATACCCCGCTGCCGCTCGGGCTCATAAAAACTCAGCTGGTCCCGGCTGCCGAGAGCGGGTACGAGCACCCACGGGTGCACTCTGCCCCACGGCGGTGCCAAGGCTCTGCTCCACGTGGGGCTGAGCAGCGATTTGGGCTGAGCCCAGGGCCACGGTGGCCAGGGGTGACCATGGTGGAGCCACTGGTGTGTCCCCTGTACCAGCCACCCCTCTTCCAGGGGTGATGCCCATGGTGACCCCGGGCTCCGTAGCCCCTCGCCGGGGCTTTGGCCCCTCGGTGCTGCTCCTGGTGCGAAGGAAGAGCGGGTGTCGCTGAAAGCGCTGAGCACCACGGGCAGGAGGGGAGGCAGACCTGAGCTCTGACCCATTTCCAGAGGAAATCCTGGGTCCAAAGGGCACTGCAGCACGGCAGCGGGGGCAGAGCAGGACCTGTCCTTGGACGGGGAGCAGCCGGTGCTGCAGAGCGGGCAGGGGGCTGCCTTGCCTGCCCTGGCCCCTGCCCCGGCACTGCGCTGGGGGCCTAGGAGGCTGAAGCAATGGAGCAGGGCATGGGGTGGGCGCTGTGGGGTGGGTGCCATGGCAGGACGTGGGGTGAGTGTGGGGTGGGGTGGTCTGAACTTTGGAGTGTGTCAGGATGGGCACAGCGAGCCCCTTGTCCTGCTCCCTGAAAGCCATCCACTTCCTAACACAGCTGGGATGGGGCGATGGCAGGGACTGTCCTGTGCCATGGGGATGTTGTAGGGGGAAACATGACACACGGGGCCTCCTGCACTTCAGCCTCCTCAGGACCTGGGTGTTCAGTGTCACACATGTCCCCATGCTGTCCAGCAGCAATTCTCCATGCCACACGTGCCCCCACGTTGACCTGTAGCAATTCTCCATTCCACATGTCCCCATGTTGACCTGTAGCAATGCCCCATGCCATGTGTCCCCGTACTGTCCTGCAGCAATGCCCCATATATGTCCCCATGCTGTCCTGCAGCAATGCCCCTTGCCACTCATGTCCCCATCCTGTCCCCACCCAGATGGGGAGCAGGACACACCCAGCATGAAGGCCACGCTCTTCAGAAAGCCCCCCCTGGCTCAGTACGGTGTCTGTGATGGCTGTGCCCTGTCCCCACAGGTGCTGTCGATGGCGATGATGACGATGCAGCTGGGTGGGCTGACGCTGGCCGTGCTGGGCTGGCTGGGCTCCATCCTCACCTGCGCCCTGCCCATGTGGAAGGTGACAGCCTTCATCGGCTCCAACATCGTGGTGGCCCAGGTCTTCTGGGAAGGGCTGTGGATGAACTGCGTGTACGAGAGCACGGGGCAGATGCAGTGCAAGGTCTACGACTCCCTGCTGGAGCTCACCTCCGACCTGCAGGCAGCTCGGGCCCTAGTGATCACCTCCATCTTCGTGGCCTTCATTGCCTTCCTCACCGCCATCTCAGGTGCCGACTGCACCCGCTGTGTAGATGACAAGAGCACTAAGACCAGGATCTCCATTGTGGCAGGTGCCATCTTTGTCCTGGCCAGCATCATGCTGCTCATCCCAGTCTCCTGGTCCGCCAACACCATCGTCAGCAACTTCTACAACCCCATGGTGCCCGAGGCCCTCAAGAGAGAGCTGGGGGCTGCCCTCTACATTGGCTGGGCCTCCAGTGCCCTCCAGCTCTTTGGCGGGGGCATCCTGTGCTGCTCGGGACCCCCATCCCAGCAGGACCCCTACCCCAAGAAGTACAGAGGGGTGAAGGGCGGCACCCCGATGGGCTACCCCATGAGGGACTATGTATGAGCCACTGTGCCCAGGCACCAGCCCAAGGGAGAGCATCACCGTCCCCATCCTGCCACCATGTGTCACCCCTCCCTGCCTACGCGCTGCCTCCTCCTGCCTGTCCCCACGCTGGCTGCTCCCCTGGCATTGTCCCCTGCCTGTGCCCTTCCACGGCTGTGCTCCCCATGGACTATAAACATCTTGGTGCCACCGAGGCTGCCTGGGCTTATTTCGAAGTGGTGTGATGGGGGGAGGATGGTGACATGTCCTGTGGGTGACACCCTGCCATCCTGCTGCCAGCTCGGGGGCTGCTGCCCCAGCGCCTGGCACGTCCCCATGAGGATGTGGGGGTGGTGAGCCAGGGTGCTCCCCACGCATCCCCCCACAGGGAAACCCAGGCAGGGAGAGGGTGCTGAGAGCCAAGAGGGACACGAGGGGACACCAGGTTCCCAGATCTTGGTCCTTTGAGTCCCCAGGGGCTGGGAGGGGACCCAAGAGAAAGGCCAAATCCCCCCTCCCTGACTCCTGACCCTCCCCTGCCCATCGTCCCCACTGCCCCAGGAACAGCACACGGCAGGCAGTGGATGCAAAGGGTTTATTCAACAGCCAAGAGCAGGGATGGGGAGAGCCACAACCCCCCAACTACCCAGGGGACAGTGCTGGGGACAAACGGGGAGAGACGGGAGCAGGGCAGCCACCCACGATGGGCACAGGGATGCCAAGACCTGGGGGGACAATGTGGAGGGGCAATAGGAGCCATGGGGAGGAGGAGTGTGGGAGATGTGGGATGCCCTGGGTGGGGGATGGGGAGACACAGCCACAGCCTCCCGCCGGAGAAGAGCTCCTGAGGGAAGTAACCGGGGCCAGGGGAACAGGACGAGCAGGAACAGGTCTGGGGAGGAAGAGAAACGGAAAAAAGGAAATATCCCAGCAAGAGATTTGGCTAAAAAACTTCCCAAGGGAGTGGCGGAGGAGGAGGGGTGGAGGCAGCATGGCGGGGGGCGCGGGGAACAGGCTGGACGGGCGATGCTGGGCTTCCAGCTTCATTTCCCACCCAGACCATGAACTACAAAGCTGTAGGAAAATAAGAGACCTAAGCAGCTGCTGTGGGATGAAAGGGTGATGGGGTACTGGGAAAGCTCCTCTGGCTGGGCGTTGCGTTGGCACAGCTGCTCCTGGGTTGGATGAGGAGGTCTCCTGCACCTCAGGGTGTGCTGGGTTATCTCCTGGGGAGGATGAGTATGGGGGACCACAGGATGTGGCAATGAGGGCCCAGCTCCAGCCCTCCCCCAGTAAAGACCATGGGGGCCTGGGGTGGGGAAGATGAAGATGGATCCAGATTTTGACGATGGCTATGTGGGAGGGCTCCTGGGGAGGATGAAGAGGGGGACCATGGCAATGGAGAACCACCTCCAAGAGTTCCCAGGTCAAGATCACGGGGGTCCGGGGTGGGGAAGATGAATGAAAATGGATCTAGATTTTGACCACGGCCACATGGACGGGTTCCTGGGGATAATGAGGATGGGGACCATAAGACATGGTGATGAAGACCCACTTCCAACAGTCCCCAGGTAAAGATCACAGGGGTCTGGGGTAGGGAAGATGAAGAAAGATCCAAATTTTGACCAAGGGCTGAAAGGTGGGCTCAGTGGGGAGAGGCCAGGAGATGGCTGTGAAGAGCCAGGTGGGTCTGTGAAATGTCATGGCGAGGACTGAGGTGTTGGGGATGGTACCAGAATGCCACAGCTAGTGATGGTGCCCAGGAGACCCTGGGAAACCAGGAGACCCTCCCCATGCCGAAGAGCAGGCAATATCCACAGGACCCAGACCTCAGTGGGAAGGAGCCGGGGAAGGGAATGGGGATGTTTTGGCTCTGGACGCTCCCCGTGACCCTTGTCACCCCCCAGCAGCCACCCTGCTCTGGGAAGGGGTCACTGAGCTGGGTTTTACAGGGGGCCAAGTGCTCTCCTCCCACCTCTCCAGAGCCGCTGGGGCTCTCAGCCCTCCTCAAGTGGTGGGACAGGACATTTCTGGTAGACGTAGACCACCCCGGAGATGTAGCCGGTGCCCTGGGTGCTCTCCTCCTCGGAGGTGGCCCTCTCCCAGCGCTCCACCTCCTGGGCCAGCACCTTCTGCCAGGCTCCCCTTCGCTCCAGCCCGGCCAGCGCTGTCTCCAGCTCTGCCTTGTACCGCAGGTTGGAGGGGTTGCTCCTGGTCGTCAGGCAGAGGAAACCCCCTGTCGGGAGAGGGGACGGGTGATGCTGCTGCCGGGTGTCCCCCCGCTGGGGATGGCATCCCCTCGAGAAGGAGCGGGACAAGGGGAGGCTGCCAGACCCTGCCAGGAGTCAGCTGGCAGGACAGCGGGCAGAGGGCAGGGGACAGGCAGGACAGCGGGCAGGGGACAGGGGACAGGCAGGACGGAGGGCAGGGGACAGGGGACAGGCAGGACGGAGGGCAGGGGACAGGCAGTCGGTCACACCTGAGCCCCGTCTGCCCTGCACCAGGAGTGCCACAGCCACCCCCCGCCATGTCCCCGCTGTGCCCCGGGGCCAGCACCCAGCCACCGGGATCCAGCACCCAGACACCCCGGTGGTCCTGGCGGGGGAGGGGACATCGGGGGACACCCCCTCACCCGGTTTGGTGACGCGCAGCAGCTCGGTGAGGGCCGTGGTCGGTCCCTGCCCCTCGCCCAGGGCCCCCACCACCGTCACGGCGTCGTAGTGCTCTGCGGGGACACGCGGGGTGTCACTTCTGGGGGGGGGAGTGTCACCGGCAGCACCCGCTCCCCCCTGCCCGGTGCCGTCCCGTTACCTGCGGGCGCGGGCAGGGGCTCCTGGCCCAGCACGCACCGCCGCAGCTCCCGGTACAGCCCGGTGCTCCGCGCCCGCTCCAGCATCCCCGGGCTGCCGTCCACGCCGTGCAGGCAGCGGAAGCCGCGGCGGTGGAGCTGCGGGGACAGAGGGACAGACGGACACACGGGGGCACCGTTACCTCCCGCCCCTCCCCGCCCCGTCCCGCC